CAATGATGCAGGTGAGAAATGATGGTGGCCCAGCGTGGATGGTGAGGGGGGTCAGACTCTCAATCTGTTGTTGGCCGAGAGAGGACCCAACAGAGTTGGCTGGTAGTCTGGGTGCAGGGGGTGAGGAGTCAGGGAGAACTGTAAGGCTTTTGGTCCAATCTGTGGTCAGGATGGACTTGTTTACTGGGCTGGAGAGGTGAAATCTAAGGTAAACAGTGACCTGATGATTGGAGAGAGGACAGATGAGTTTATGGGCAGGCCACAAGAGACTGAGTTCTCTAACTCAGCCTGGCAGGGGTGATGACCTGAGGAGGCACCAAGCTGGCAAGCCACTGAGATTCTCCACCCCCAGCCCCCTGACTATGACCGCCCAAGGGAAAGAGGCCTGAAGGAGGAAGAGGCAGAGATACCTGGGCCATAGCTTACAGAGACCTAACGAGCTTTGCCAAGAGTACACCAAACTGCTGACCCTGAAAGTGGAGGGAGATAGCTCTCCCAGGGCAAAGGGTATAATGTCTTTGCTCTGAAGATGTCTGAGATCATGAACCCAAATAGAATTTAAGGACTACCCAGTTCACTGCCCCACCTGCACCGCCCCCCACCAAATAACTACCCCACTCAAGGTGAGGAATGACCAGCAAGGAGAAACACAAGACACATGCACTGGAAGTACCTTCCTACAAACAAGAGGAAACAAGAACTTGAGTAAAAGATGGAAGAACTTTCCTCCTTGTTGCAGCAAAGTGTGTTACAGCTCAGCTGTGACAGCAACCTGGATCCTGACGAGAGAACAAGCAGCACTGAGAGGGTTGGAGAACTCAGGTTTATTACGCCGGTGGGCCCAGAGGAGTTAACACGCCAAGCTCTGGACCCCGTTTGTAGGTTTACATAGGCTTTCATAGGCTGCCAGTCTAAACTTTGCAACATCATATGCAAATAAGGTGTAACAAAGTGGACCAATCAGGAATGAGCTTTTTAGAAATGGACCAATCAGGAGTGATAGAACTGGGCCAATCAGGCATGAGCTCAGGGAGCCAATAGAATCTTAGGGGTAAGTTCCGCTTTCCTAGAAGCAAGCCGTTTTATAGAGGCAAAAAGCAAGATAATGCTACGGGCCAGGGACCTGGATGGCGCTGGCAGGAAAGTAGTGGCCTTGCCTGGAGGTCCTGCCAGTCTTTTTCATGAGGCTTCCCACCTCATTAAGAGGAAACAAGAACTTGAGTAAAAGATGGAAGAACTTGCCTCCTAAGAGGAATTACCCAAGATCCAGGGGACAGGATGACAAAGTACAAAACACAACTGAAAAGAAGAATGAGATTCAAAGAAGAATTATCCATGGAAGTTGTACAATAAGAGAAGAAAAATGATCTGGTCTACCTCTTAGGAGAGACATGAAAGAAATGAAAACATTGCAGAAATGAATGTCATGTAAAAACCAACCACAAAGATGATAGATCATAACTGGAGATTCTATCAGGGAAATGGAGAATCAGCTTCAAGAAATCACTCAAGTCAAAGTGGAAGAGAGCAAAGTCATAATAACAGATACAGTGAGGGTGAGGGACATGGGGGACAGAGAAAGGAAATCTGGTACATGCCTAATGTTGCGAAGAACAGAACACACTCACACATTTTTCATAGAACCCCATTATGTTACACTACAACTGGCTACATTTCCTGGGCACCTGCTTTGTCACAGGAGTTCAGAGTCCCAGCTACCTTTGTGCCAGCTACAGGCAAGAAAGCAGATGATGTGATGAAAACAAGAGAAACAAAATAAATGCTTAAAAAAAGTTCCTCTGGAAGGTAGGCTATGATTCACTGAGTCACGTGTTAGACACTGGGCATTGTTGTGTGTGCATGTGTGTCATCAGTGGGTTGGGAGTGAGTTGTTCATGACCAGCAAATAACAGAGCCAGAACTCAAAAACCAGGTGTGTCTGCTTCCAACTTCATTCTCCTTCTCCTTGAACATGCTGACTCCATCACACCTGTAAGGAAAGTACCAGTGATGATAAATCCTGGGTGTCTTATCATGAGGATTCTTTACAAGGGGTCTGGAGAGGACAAGACTGTGCAAAGACTTGTCTAGGGATGATTTCCAAACCCAGGCAGGTGGGACTTAGAAGAGCAGCAAGAACACTCTTCAAGCAAAATCACAATCCAAGGCAAAGGTTACTTGCAAGATGAATAGCGGAGCATCCATCACCCCATAGGCTGCGGTCCAGGATGTGCTAAGAATTCACAGGACAGTGGGAGAGGCCAGCAGTGAGAGGGTACTCATGCTAGAGGGAAAGGAAAGAATAAGTCTACTGAAAAAAGAGCATTTGAGGACCATCCTGTGCTGAACAGAGGAGAGATGGAGACTGCCCGCCTCTGCTTTAAGGTGGCCTGAGAGGTTTGGCCACCCCTGCTCAGACCATCTATTGCAGCCATGAGTACAGAATATATGAGGTAGGAATGGTCACGCTGGAGCTGCGAGTAGATGTGGAGCTATAACACATAATAGTTCTTTCAGTCCAGCACTGGGTCCCTTAGTGTTCATGCCAAGCTGTCACTTGCTTTTCGGCAGTATTAAGATCTTGTTTCTCATGCCCTGTGCCTGCTTTGCCTGGAACCCTGACCTATGTACCCAGGTTCCTCACTTGGGGTCCAGATCCCTGAAGTCCACTCATTACTAAGCTGAGAAGAAGAAGCTGAGGAAGGAAGCTTGAGGGACACCTTCAGAGTAGACTCAGAGAAGAAGACAGAAACCAAGTGGGCAGATGGAGATGCGAGGGCCCGAAGACCAGGAGGCACAGAAGCCAGGAAAGAGGGTGGGAAGGAGGCATCACGTTCTGGGAGTCTATGGGCCAAAGTGGGGATTTGTTGATGAGAGTCATAACTGAGAAGGCAGTTTCAGCAGCACGGTGGGTCAGAAGCTAATCCACCAGAGGTTCAGAAGCAGTGGAGGACGGACAGGTGCAGCTCCGGCAGCCCAGACCCAAACATTCCTGCATCAGCCCCCGATGGCCAAGCCACCCCCGCCTGCCTGCTCAGACCACCTGCTCCAGTGAGATAAACCTGTCCCCTCACATCGCCTTTCCTGCATAGCCTTCTTTGCACCAGTGCATTGGGATTTTATTCTGGAACACTCTCCTCCCCTCTCGCCCCCAAACCCTGTTTTGCAATCCAGAGTCTTAGTATTGGAAGAGAGCTGAGAAATCACTCAGTGATCAACTCTTTCATGCCACCTTTAAAGAAACTGAAACCCAGAGAAGAACGTGACAGGCACAAGATCACACAGCAAGAGAATGACAGGATGTGTCAGTCATCCATCCGATAACGCTGCTGCACGACACACCAACCCAAACTCAGTGGCTTAAAGCCATAATCATTTATTTTTGCCCGTGTCTGTGGCTTGACAGCTGTGGCTCTGCCGATCTTGGTTGGGCTGGGCTAGGCTTGGCTCCAGGCTGTGGGTTTGGTCCAGGCTGGCTCCATGAGTCTCTCATTCCTCTGCAACCAGCGGGTCAGACAGGACATCATCTTTTCTTGGGGTCAACGGGAACACAAGAGGTCAAGCCCAGGCACACACTTTTAAAACCTCTGCCTGCGGCACATCTGTTAACATCCTGTTGACCAAAGCAAGTGCCACGGCCAAGCCCAAAGTCAAGGGGAGGTTACCCAATGTTATACACAATGTTAAGACGCAAAGAGCTTATCAAACAACCAGATGAACGTGCTCACTACCAGAGAGGCAATCCATAAAGGAAGATTCAAATAGCCAATAAACAGATGAAAAGATGTCTAACTTCTCTACTGATGAAAGAAATGCATATACGAAGAGAGGTTTGTTTTCCACTCACCAGATAGGTGAAGATTAAGAAAGCTGACAAACCCACATAGCTTATTGGAAAATGGGCACCTCACGCACCAATGATAGCAGTGCTGATTGATTCAACCTTTACAGGAAGGCAGTTTGGCAGTATGTGTCAAAATGTAAAATGAGCACACATTTTACCCTGATCATCTCACTCCCAGGGAATGCATTGATGGAGGCGGTCACACAAACTCACAAAAAAAAAAAAAAAAAGTGTGCTGCAGTGGTTCATCGGAGTGTGGCTAATTTCATAAGATCAAAGAGCTGTAAAGAGGGAATTGATTTGATAAATTAGTGCAAATCTATAAAATGGAATATAATGCAATGATATAAAATGATGTAATTTTGCAACTATTAAAGTGGAAGTATACCCACAATACCTTGTAGAGGAAGAACAAAAAGTGGGCACAGATCCAGAAGCCCATTTATTGGTATCAAGAAAAATAAAAAAGATATTGACCAAGATGTTAACCATGGTTCTACTTCACTGGTATAATTGGGAGAAATTTCTACTTCTTTGTACTTTTCCCTAATGTTTGAGTGTGTCTGATAAAACATGCACTGTTTTATAAAAATAAAACTTTTAGAGAAATGAAGCTAGTTACGCATTTTTGCTCTGGAAAAGTCTAGAAGAAAAATTATGGTAATAAGTCATACTAAATTTTGAACAGAAAAAAAATCTTTACAATAATTTTCTTTTTTAGTTGATTTTCTGGTAAGTTAACTAGAATAATTTTGTAGTGTAATTTAATTAGCCCTGCTTTGGGATTCAATAGATGTTCTAGTTTTACCATGTGTTTTAAAAGTGCTTTCTTGAACGCTCTTTACTTGGGAGGGAGGAAGGCGTAGGTCAGCAGCTGTCACATCTGTTTCTGCCTGGGGACCATATTCTAAGCACAGTCACGTGGGTACAAGTACACAGATTCACAAACACACCTCCAAATATATACTGACTCCAGGACGAGCTAACATTTATTGGATATTTACGATGTTCTAAGGGTAGCACACTCTTTGTTTCATTTGCTCTACACGCCTACTCTACGATGGAGGTATATTTATTTATGAGGAAGCTGAGAACTGCACCATTTAAGGGACTTAACTAGGATCCTGCCGTTCGTAAGTGACTGAGTTCCAGCAGCAGTCACACCTCACCCCAAAGTTCCAATAAACCACGGAAGGTACCAAGAAATAAATCTAGTAAATTACGTGCAAGACCTTTAAGGAGAAAATTACAGAACTTTATTGAAAGACATAAAAGAAAAAGCTGAATAAAGGGAGAGATAGAGCATGCTTATAGATAGGAAGGACCAATAGTCTGAAGATGTCAATTACTCCCCAAGCTAATCTATGAAGGCAACGTAATTACAATTATTAAAATCCCAGCAGAGCTTCAGGTGAAACATGATAGGCTGATTCAAAAGCTCATATGGGAAATAATTTCGAAGAACAAGGACCACTCACTCTCCCCAACACCAAGATTTATGATAAAGCTCTCCTGTTCAGACTTTGCAGCATTGGTGTAGTGCATGGTGAGGAGGCCAGTGGAGGAACCAGAAACAGATAGGGATGTGTGCGGGAACCCCATATGGGGCAGAAGGGAGTTGCAAATAAGAGAGGAAAGATAGATGACACAGTAATTAGTGCTAGGAAAGCGGCTATACGTAGGGGGAGATGCTTACGTCATTTGAAAATTAGAAAATATTTGCGATTTTTAACTACTCTATATAAAATAGATGAACAACAAGGTTCTTCTGTATAGCACAGGGAACTGTATTTGATATCTTATAGTAAGCTATAATGAAAAAGAATATGAAAATGAATATATGTATGTATATGTATCACTAAAACATTATGCTGTTCACCAGAAATTGACACACTGTAACTGACTGTACTTCAATTAAAAAAAAATCCTTTGGGCAACTCCACGAAAGGGAACAAGTCACTTGCACGGCAAGCAGTAGAACCTTGGACTCCATAACAGGAGGAGGGTCCTCAGGACACCAGGGTGGAGGCCTCAGGGTTTCCTGGAGAGACATGAGGAGGCCAGGTGAGGTGCAAGGGCCCCGTGGTACCCTCCGGACAGGAGGAGAATTCTGTGGACTGGGAGAGCCCTCGGTGAGAAACCGGGAGGCTGCACCACAGGGGCTGCTTGGGGCCCGGCAGCAGCCAGGTGAGAGAGCAGTCCGGAGTCGGCACGGCGGGCAGGCCAAGCAAGGTAGTGCTTCCCACAGTTTGTCTCTGACTTTTAGTCCTGGTGCCTCTTCGACAAAGTCAATTATTTGAGTAATTTCCCCTGATTCTGCACTGCAGAATTTTGTAAGCAGGGATGAGTCTGGTCTTCTTGTTTCCATATCTCTCGTTCCTTTTTCCAAAAGTGAGAACCTGGTCCTCATTTCCCCCTGTTTGAAATCAGCCTTCCATCACAGCCTCCACTGGCCACGCCCTCCCTGACATGAGCCCCCACCTCACCGTCAGTTTCCCTGACCTCACTGCGGTCATTTGTTCCCTGCTTGTGGTAGGCACTTAGTAAGTGTTCATTGGATGAATGAATGGATGAATGTCAGTTATCTGCAACCCCTAGCATAGTTTATAATACTTATATCATTATTAAATGAGCAAATAGGTATGGGAAGAACAGTAGAACCCAGTAACTCAGAACTTATCATGAATCAGGCATGAATTTTAGCTTTCATGCATCCGCGAACAACGTTTCGCTGAACCATTTGAAAGTGTCGGCAAGATTAGCAGTGGCATAAATTCATAGCCCCAGGGCTGACCTCAGTGATGATATAAAAGCAGGAGGAAGAGGCTCACATGGGGTCCTAGTGGTAGGAGAGGAAGGTCACAGTCAGAGGGGCCTTGGGCTCTGCCACTCAGGAAGCGCGTTCACACTGCAGGGGGCCATAGTAGTAACAATAAAGTGGTAATAATGATGAACGATTGAGTGGTTTTGTGTGTGGACACGGCAACCCCAGGAGGCGAGTGCTATGGCCACCTCTACTTTCCAGAGATGAAAAGTGGGTCTTGTAAACAGGGCTGCTTCTAGCTTTCCCTTCCTCCTGTTGCTCACTCCTTTCTCTGATGGTGAGACCCTGGTTTCTGTTTTCCTAGATGTTTCCCCGTATTGTCAGAGAGATGGAATCTTTGGCCCACGGTCACGCAGAGTCATGGTGGGACAGCCTGGCACATGCATCTGGAGTGCTTGGTTTCATAAGTCCACCTCCAGGAAATGCTCCTTGGGGAATGACCAAGGTCCACAGGACGCCACGTGTTTAAAGGGACTGGCACATGTCCTGTGGACTATATACATGACAATGACATCATGGGCACGACTTGCTTCTTGCTGAATCAGAGGGTTCAAGCCCCTAAGCATTCCCCCTCTCTCTGGGTCGGGCTGAAGACACTTCTCCAGGGCCCCAGTGCCTCAGGGGGGTGGGGGGATGGGGGCGCCTCCTCAGGCAGGAAGCTGGTCAGGCAGCCTCCGCCCTGTCCCGGGGGAGCAGCCCCGGCAGGTACAAAGCACCTTGCTCACCTTGCTCAGCACCTGCCACCTTGGCCCAGCATCTGGCCTGTAACTGCCCCCCTCTGCCTGGTGGGGATTGATGCCCCACTGGGAATAAAGGGGAAGGAGGGGGTGCATTATTCAGGTTGAAGGGGCCTGTTTTGCAGGCAGGGCAAGGATGACAAGAGGACCAAAAGGCAGCAGGGGCTGAAAAGGCAGTCAAGGCTGCCTCCTAAGGTGAGGGAGGTGAGGTAAGGAAAGTGAAGTGAGGTGAAGGAGGTGAGGGAGCTGAGGGAGGGGAGGGGAGGTAAAGTGAGGTGAGGAAGGTAAGGTAAGGGAGGGGAGGGGAGGGGAGGGAGGTGAGGTGAGGTTAGGGACGTGCTAGCCTCACTGCCAGTCAGGGGAGGCGGGTGTGAGGAGGACACAAGGGCCAAGCCCCCACCACTACCTGCCTACCCCCAGAACAGGAACATGCCGTGGGGACCCTGCCGCACATCCCCACGGGAGTCGGCATCAGCACCCTCTTCTCACCTCACCTGGTTCCATATTCAAGGCATTAAGGAGGCACATACTGTAAATACTCTCCGGTTTCTCCACCCTACAGTTTCCACTGAATATCATGAGCCTTTCACTCTTACATATTTTTTCACTTAAAATGTCAAGGAGCTCTTTTCTAGAAGTACTGAACAGAGATAAAGGGGATTAAAGGATGATTTTATCCCATTTAAAGCTAACCTGCAGCGAATGGGAGTAAACAGAACCACTAGGCAGCTACACCTCATCCCCCTCCTCCCTCCAGGCACCTGCCCTCCTGTTCCCCATCCCCACCCCCTCAAAGGCGCCCTGGGAGCTCCAGACACGGAAAAAGAGTTGCATGTCCCCCAGGGCCCTTGCCAAGTCCTGCCTTCCGGAAATCTGGTTCCCACATTCACCTGGTATGAAGCAAATAGTCAGTTAAAAGTCTTTGATTGTCTGGAAAAATAAAGAACATGAAATACCCGAAGTCTTGATCTGCAGTGCTAGCCACAGCTGCCTTGTGGCAACATCGAATAAATCTCTGAGCTTCCCAGGCCACAGGCTCTTTGGTGTCACCTGAGAGGACGCCAGGCTCTGAACCGGCCAGCAGGGGACAGTTGAAAGCAGGGACAGTGGACGTTTTTGCTTCTGATGCAGATCAGCCACAAGCCTTACATATTCAAAGATGCACCTCCTGCCTGGAGGGGCCCATCCGGGCTGGGGAGGGGCGGGGCCTCCTGGGATCTTTGTTACTACAGGGCTTCGGCTTCTGTAACGTTTACAGGTCAAAAATAGTCAAATATCAATCATTTCATGTTGTAGGACCTAATGCATACTTTGTTTCAACTCCACAAGAGCCCTGTGAAGTAGACATTTTGACCCCTATTTTATGGAAAACAGAGGCCTGGAGAACCTAAGTAATTTGCCCAAAGTCACACAAAAACTGGCAGTCAGAATCTGAATACAGAGATTCAGACGCTAATCTAGGCCGTTTCTCCTGTGCCTGTCATCTCCCTCCCTCTTAAATCCGCTCCGTACTTTGCCCTCTTCCCCATCTAGACATGCTTATTCTTGCCTGCTTTGTCTGCTCGGATGATGCCTCCCTCCTGAACTCCTGTCCTCCTTTCTTCATTTATTCTGAAGATATTTATTGACAAACTACTGTGTGTCAGGTTTGTGTTAAAGCCACAAATAGTTTTATAGTTTAATAATTGAATGAGACACTGAAGAGCTTAGCAATCAGTGTAGACAAAGGATACTTCCATAACTTCAGCTATATGTGTTCAACAAAGTAAGATTTTTAAGAAGGAAATAGAGAGTGATTTAAAGAATGCAGGCAATTTTGCCCAACACTGCCAATTTTAGTGATATGTGCTTACTTCACGGACTGGCCCCATGTGAGATGTGATGCTGAGCATTGTGGAAATGTTACGGAGTCCAAATGCATTCTGCTCGCTGCACAACAGGCCAATAAATCGAGAGATGAGGTGTTGGGGCAAGGAATAATGACTTTATTTGGAAAGTTGGCAGACTGAGAAGATGGCAAACTAACGTCCTGGAGAACCATCTTCTCCCAAGTCAGAATTCAGGCTCCTTTTGTGCTAGAAAGGGGAGAGGGTGTGGTTGGTTGTTACAAACTTCTTGGTGTTGGAATTCTTTGTTCTTGCAGGTGTCCACGGAGGTCAGGTCGGTCAGGTCGGTCAGGTCATGATGTTCCTGCAAACCTCCAACAACACAAATGTTATTTTCTGTTCTGCAACTTTTTATCTTTATATGAATGGGAAAGTGTTATACCCTTAAAGGTCAGAGCCTTGAAAATGGGCTGTCTTGTATATTTCAGGCTATAGGCAACATCCTTTTACAAAAGGTGCAGAATCAACATGACTCAGCACAGGAAACAGAGCACAGGGTTAAAGTCAAAAGAACAGATCCAATATGGAGTCAGATTTGTTCTTTCCTATTACAGAAAGGCTGAAGGTGGGCGCAGGGTGTGTGTAGGCAGTCTAGGTAGGAGGAACAGCATAAGCAAAGGCACGGAGGTGCATAAGGGAACAGCAAGAATCTCCACGGGGCTGGAGCGTCAAGTGGAGGGCAGGTGACGGTGAAGGGGTTGAAGAGAGTAAAGGGGAGGGACAGGAGATGAGGTGGGGGTGGTCAGAAGGGACATGCAGCAAAGGCCTTTGAATATTAGGCTAAAAAAGGGGCTAAGTGTATCTTGGAAACCAGAGGTGTTCACTGACACGCCTTTTTGAGGTACCTTGGTTGCAGGGGAGTGGTGTCAGAGTCAGGGTGAAGGAAGTGTGCATGCCGGCAGCCTCAGAGCTCCCTTACACTCACTCTGAGAAGCTCTATGGCTGTCAGTTGTAGATTTGGGGGTTCTATGTCAGATTCAGTTTTGAAAAAAAATGAATTTAATAATAATGACATAAAAATATACATAAAAACCATAGGAAAATTATATAAGTGAGATTTTCGCTTCTAGCCATGATGAAGGAACAGGAATGGAACTGAACCTCCCACCTTACGCAGCTAAAAAGTGAACAAAACATGTCAAACAACTGTCTATAGATAACTGGCTGCACAAAAGTGTGATCACAGGGAGAAAGGAAACAAATTAATTGAGTCCTATGACTATCCGGGCTTACTCCCTGGAGGTGGCTTCCAGCCTGCAAAGAACAGAGTGAGAATTCAAACAGAGCCAGGCAGATTTGATGATCTGAGGAGAAAGAGACCAGAGTTTGAGAGGGCCATCGTGGCTACAATTGGGACAACAGACTATTTTCTGTTTTCCCAAGCTGCACAGAGGAGGGAGGGAGGGATTTGCACAGAGAGGGACTTCCAAAGACATGCAGAGGGATCTGTCAAGATTCTATCTGAGTAATGATCTGGGTATGTGTGACAGGAAAGTACCCAGAGCCAGGGAAAGAACTGCCAGAATAGGGAATACAGAGAAATTCTTGAAGCTCACACAGGGCTGGGTAGTTTTTCTTCTTGTCTGCTAGAGTGGAAAGGCCTCAATATAAATAAAACATCAGGTAGAATCCTCAGAAGGCTATTGGATTAGAAGTAGTATTAATTAAACCTAAAATAAACTCTGTTCTGTATCTGCCCTAATAAACTTAAAAACAAGTCTCAAATGTATCCACCTGATTCAAAATAATTTAACTGCTTCCCTGAAGAAAATCTGATACTATTGAAAAAAAATATGACAAATCTAGCAACCAACAACATACAGTAATAATGTCCAACGCCTAACAAAAAATTACAGGACCTTCAAAGAAGCAAGAAAATGTGACCTATAACCACCAAAAACCAAAACAAATAAACAAAAATACCAATAGGAAGGAAT